CAAATAGAACAGACATACATGCCTTCCACTGCAGAGCAACACACAAAGTGATGCGGATCTGGAATCTCTCCGTCCTGTAGTCCTACCAGTCGAGACCTAAGCCACAGGGATGTTTTGCACAGTGCTCCTACCTATGAAACTGTCAACTCTATGGTGATGCATTAAACACCACTACACCAATCAAAAGGCCTGTAGCTGCAGAAATTAGCTATTTGTTCTTCTTCTAGGAATGGAATTAGAAGGATAGGTAGACATATGTTTGTTCCTCCTTAACCTCCAATTCGTCCAAGTACCTATGGAAACTCTTGCATGTTTCCATGGTCAGCTGATGCAGTGCAACTCCTGCATCTGCCCAACCCCCTAATACCTTGAAAAAACCTTAGTGATACTGATTCCAGTATTAAAGAAGGAATGCCATAACTGTAAGATTAAAAGAGCTACTAATTTTGATGGCATACAGTGCCCTGAGTCCTTTAAGTTCCATATTATATTATATTTATAGCTTCTTTGTTCAGTTCCAGAATATTTTCCATTTTAGGAAGGAAAGAAATCTACTCAAGAATCAAACAAATCCCATAATTCTAAAATACAGGCAGCTGACTGCATTGTATTAGACGATGAGTTAGAAGATGGAGCAGTTCCTTTGTTATATTCTGTCTCTTTAAATAGCAGAATTGCCAAAGTTGGTGTGACAAAAGAATGACATTAAGAATGAGAACTGTGTAATCTTCCCATCTCAGTCAGCACTTAAGGATACAAAGGAGTAAAAAATGCTACTTGTCTCCATTGCCCAAAACTTCTATGTGCTGCAGATAAAAAACAAACAAACCAAAACACACTGAGCTTTTAGCTTTTCAGGGATGCAATATTAAACAATTTCATTAAAAATAAATTGCTTTTTTTAAAAAAATAAACTGATTTTCTGTTTTTAAAAAGGGAAAAAAACAGATCTATTGTGTATTTTTATCCACTGAACAAACAAACTGTTTATGGAGACTGTATCTCAGTGCAAGCTGAAGCACTTTTTATAACTGTGTACTCTCAGACTGTAAACTGAGATATTATCCCTAAAATCATTTAGTGTTTCCATAAAAGAAAAAGTTGTGCTGTCAAGACATTTTCCTTGAAGGACTCTTTTCAAAGCTACTTCTGTCTTAACTTAGCAACAAACTTCAGCAGAGAACCAGCTGGCAGAGGACACTACTGAATATACACGTGTAGGTTTTCCACATTCTGGAGCTGTCTGATAAAGTCTGCTCTGAAGCAGCTGGGAGCACGGAAAACCACGGGCCTGAGAATTCTGAGAAACCAAATGCACTGGAAGAAATACCAAAGAAATCAGTGCCCTGTTTTATCTCATTCTCTTTGAACATCAACTGGCTGGCTAAAAAAACATTTGTCCTAAGTAAATGCTCTAGTAATTACACTTCACTAGACTCATTCAAGGTCATGAAGAGTCAATGGTGATCAACTGCTAAAAAGCCCCACTTCTCTTATACTTGTTTTGATGCATATTTCTCTGAGTCATTGATTTAATCTTCCTTTTGATTATTTCAAAATTTGTCAGAATTTAAGGCATCACTAATTTCTACAGTGAAATTTACTCCCAAGGTGCATTTCAAAAGTGCTGCACAAGAGCAGATACACCATCTGCTGTTTAAAGAGTTCCAAGACCATTTTCTGTTACATTCCTACAACTGGATAAGCCACTATTGCTAAGAGGAATTCTACTGACTCCCTTTGAGGCTATATAGAGTACAGGCATCAAGAGTAACAGGACTTGCAAGAGGTATGAAAATGGTAAAATGGTACCCTTGAAATTAAGAAAATGATTATTTAAGTCTGAGCTTTACTAGAAGCATCACTGCTGATAGTTTTCACAGAAACATATACATTTACACTCTGCTCCCAGACTGCTGTCTGTATTTTCCCAGGGGGCAACAGACCCAGTTGCTTGGCTTTGAGCTGCCAAGACTTTTAGTTTAATCCTGTTATAACTCATCAAACAGATGTAGGCATTTTACACTCAGAATCCTACAACCCACTATGTGCAGTCTTTACAGATACCAAAAAACAGAATACTCCAGAATCCCTGTACTGATTGCATTGTTTACTTTTATGCTTAATTTCAAAACTTTACATTTTAAATGTATTTCAGAACAGACTCTTATATTGAATTGTTATATTGCACTGTTTTACCCACATCTACTTCCAAAAAGTTAGTCAAATACTGTATCAGGAAGATCTTTCTATTAATGACTTTATGAGATGACACAGATTTAATGAGCCTGTCTTAGCTTAACCCTCTTCATGTGTAGTGTGGAAGGAGAGAGACTGCAGTGCCACACTGAGAAGGCACTGGGGAGGGATTTGTGCAAGTATTGACCAGTTCAGAAACAAACTGAGACAAGGTTATCTAATCCAAATAATTCTGAGGGAGTTCTGCTGTCTTGAGGATGAGCAGCAATGCACAGAAATGCTTTGGTACAGATAAAGCCATCTTCCTTAAGTGAAGGAATGGATGTTTCACTGCAATAAAAAGGGTAGGTAAATGGTCTCCTTTCCTGACCTTTTTGCACAGACTCTCCCTTTAATAATACAGAAACATAAATCTTGCAGCAAGACTGTATATTTAATACCTTGGATAAATTACATTTTATGACTGAACTTCCATCTCTCTTGTGATTAACTCTCTTCCAGTATATGCACAGCTGGAAATGAAGCAGCTTTTCCTAAGAGCATCTTACAATCCTGGCATGTACAGCCTTCATTCTATTGCCTTCCAACAAAGATTCCCATGTTCAAGTGGACATCCTTTAGTATTTTGGACTTTTACAAACTAGCCATATTCAGTTCATCAGCACCTACAATTGCAGAAAGGCACTTCTAGGCTTCTGTAATGAAAAAGATAAATGAACTGTGCATGGCTGGGTATATACTACGTTTAATGGGCCAAAGCCTGAGCTTGCTGTTATGAAGCAGGAGGGCAGAGAACAAGAGAACTGATGGATTCCAGCTGTGCAGGGCACTGGAAAAGAGACCTGTGATATAGTAACAACAGACTTCAGAGTCACCTTCACTTCCTGCACAGTGAGTGCTCTGCAGGTCCCCATCTACAATGTGTGTTGGTTATACTCTCCAGTCAAAGACCAGTTGTGCTCAAAACACACATCTGAAATCAAGAGTGGAACAGATGGGCTGTGAGGCAATGACCATTTATTAAATCTTCACATAAAACAGGGAGAACTTGTCTATGTATTGTTAGACATTGATGATTTCACTTTTGTGCTGGTGATTCTGAAATGCAGCTTTACTACTGCAATAAATATTTGCCTGAGACATTTCCAAAATTCAATCCTATTTTCAGCTCCTCAGTAACAGTTCAGTGCCAATCCTTGTTATTTAGGAGTTTTTTTTTTTTCTCCTGTTTGCTACTCTTGTCATGCCTGTAAATACTGAGGCTACCAGCCAAGTACTGTACAGCTGTTAATGTCCTGCACGACAGAGAGGACAGCACAGGACAGAGAGGACAGCAGAGGCTGTCAGCACCTCCACAGGCTGAGTGGGAGCAGAACCCTTTCTTCTGTAGAGCTCAATGGCAGGCAGCACACACTCGTATTCCCATCCACTGCCTTAGAAACAGCACTGCCAGGTTAGCTCTTTTTTCTGTTTTTTTTTCCAAGAGAAGAATTAGACCCTATACACCCAGAAGCACATGCTAAATAAAACATTTTTTAATTAAAACCACAGCAGAATTTAAGTTCACAAGGTCTCTGTGAAAGCAAAGAAACATGACCTTCTACTTTCTCTAAACTCTGACGTCTATACATAGACAAACTAATTACCCATCACTATAAACAACCACAGACAGTTCCTACCTCATCACTGGATAAGCCTAAATGCACCTGCTTCCTTTTCTTTAATGATAAGCCAACTCCTACCCTGAAAACGCCTTCTTTCAATGATTAAAGAGCTACAAGGCAAGTGCCAGTAATAAAGTTACATTTTTTTCTTTCTGTAATTTAATCTTTGCCCTGTAGAAACTGCTGATGAGAGCTCAGTTCCACTTAAAATTTACATGAAAACAATCCATATCATGTTGCATGGAAAAGGACTGTTGCCCCAGTGTTTATTGGCATAGTGATACAAAGACTGAGAAATTACTCTGATGCAAAAAATTATGTACAGCCTTGTATCAACATCAAACAGGCTTTGATGTATGGTTGCTATTTTTGGAAGCTAATGATCTGTGAGTGATAAAGCAAATGAACTTCTTAATGATGACAAATACAGGAGAATGTACAGTACTAAGTAGAGAACATGAAGTCCAACCAAAGAAAGATTTATGGAAGATAGTTATGGTACCTAAGATTTATAATGGCAAAGTAAGAGAACAGGAAAAGCTTCTGGAAGATCTTGTGTGTCTACTTGGAATAACAATTCACAAAGGATGCAATGTACAGTCCACTGCATGCTTCTAGCTGATACTAACATTGCTTTTGGTATTTATATGCATATAAAGCATAAGACATGCAGTACTTTATCCAATTTAAATACAATTATAATAGCTATAGGAAAAAAAAACTGGGTTTTTAACTAGTGTGAAAATATGCAAATAATTAGTGTTTATATTGTTGGGGTGTTCCTATAAACTTCTCTTTTTATATCGGTGGTTTTCAGCTAATTCTGCGGCAAAACTGGCAAGCTGATGTTTTCACAATGAAAATTTCATTGTGCTCTTAAAAGGTTTTGAATTGAAGAGATTCCTATACAGCAACCTAAGATCCATCAGTGGCAATTAAAATTCAATACACTAAATATACTATGGATAGTAAAGTTTGGCAACAGAAGATAGCATAATAATGAAAACAATGCATTTGTGGTATTTCATGTCTGAAAATACATTAAAGAAGGGGGGAAAGTCACAGAATTTACGGCTAATTTCAGGGTAGAGGATCAGTCAGCATTTTGAGAGATATTTAAGGACAGGAAGAGAAAAAGGCACAGCCTTTCAGGGCAGGAATATACTGCCTGCTGAGCTCGGCCTTGCAGGTGGGAGCACAAGCCTCTGCACCGCAACCAATTCACACCTTCCAGAAACCCGGACCCGCCGGTCGCCAAGGAGCGGACATGGAAACCGGAGTCCCACCGGGTACGTGTGGCCTCCTAATCGAACCTCTCTTTTGCTTCAGGTTAAGCGTCTCCCGTCGCTGTGCTCGCAAACAGCGTCCTGACGGGACGTGGGGAAGGAAGCGAAGCCCTGGCCGACGGCAGCGGCCGCTGGCCCGAGGGAGCCGCGGCAGGCAGCGCCCGCTGGCCCCCACTCACCTGCAGCCCGTGCGGGCGGCGCGGCCCCGGCGGCCCCGGCGGCCCGGGCGGTGGCTCGGCGGTGCCGGCGGTGGCTCGGCGGTGCCGGCGGTGCCGGCGGTGCCGGCGGCGGGGAGCGGCGGAGCCGGGCGGCGCGGACCCACCCGGGCCGCGGAGCCGCCGCCACCTGCCCGCGGGCCCGCCCGCCGTCCCCGGCCCGCCGCCACCCGCGGCCCGGGACCCGCCCGCGGGGCCAAAGGCGAGGCGAGCCCGCGGCGCTGCCCCGGGGCGGGCGGGGCGCTCAGGTGCTCGCCTCGGCGGGACAGCGACCGCGGCCGGCTCACAGAGCCACGCGGGCTGAGGAGCGGGCCAGGCGCTGAGACAGGGCGATTCCAACACCACAACTTTCCACCTCGGCTTTTCTTTCCCCCTGCGCCTGCCCTAAGTGGCTTCAGGTAGCGACGAGCCATTTCCAGGTGATTTTCTCGAGCGAGTGTTGGAGGTGGCGGGGCAATTGCGGCACGTAGCTACACTCAGGATCCTTGCGGTGGTATCTGGTGAAAAGCTTCGGCTGAAGCCGCTTGTATCTGTACAACAGATGCAGTAGTTGTAGAACAGTAGTGCCCTTGGATCTTCAAATGGGATGTTTCTAGCTTAGCTTCTATGCCAGAAGTGAGAAAGTAAAGCTGGACGAACTGACTGGAAGAATTGACCAAAATAACATCATCTAGTTGGTCTCCCACTTCGGCATTTTATCTGTTTTAATAAACTTCTCTCAAACTTATGAGTTCTGGTTTCAACATGAGCACTTTTTTTTTTTTTTCCCCCTAAAGAGTCTCTCCCATGTAAAGTCAATGAGTCCGAGGACAGCGCTTTTGGATAGAAAATACAGATGTTACCTGATAAATGAATAAATGAATGAACACCACACTACACTGACTTTCAGTCCAAGGTAAAAGCATTAGAGTGAAAAATGCTGTGGAGGTTGCTTGTTTCTTAGGGCACTGATAAGGAAGGCAGAAATGAAAATGGAAAGCTGGTGCACACTGACTCAGTCTTAAAATGAAAAATCATTTCAACACTACTGTGGTCAAAAAAGAAATTTAATTATAGGTTTTATTTCTGCCAAGTAGCATTGTTTTAAAAATATTCATGCTATATTGGCAAAAGTGATTTTATAAAATATTTCTATGTGCAGGAAAGATGGACCCCCACGTAAAGCAAATCTGAGAAGTACATTGTTCACTTGCTCGGTTGCACTGCAACTCTGACAACAAAGACATTTTCTGCTTTGTGTACTCTATATAATTGCTTGGGTGTAGCCTGCATTCAAGATAAAAAATGTTTGTTCTTCTCCCACCACAGGAAATAAAAGCACCAAAAATACAACTTAGATGAGAAGCATAAGATAGGAAACTTAAAACTAAGCTTAGAATTTTGCATGTGCTGAAATAAATTATTAAACTGCTTCATGGATTTTAATAAAAATCAAATGTGGGACAGCCTAGAGAAAAATCAAATTACAGTATATTAGAGAGTCAGGTAAAAAAGAAATCCATTGGAAGGGAACATCATTTCAGGCCCTATCTTTATACATAGTGTTTTAATTACAAACCAGTATTGTTTTTTCAAAGTTTATTATTAAAAATTCTGATCCTTGTAATGAAATACGGTTGCATTTTTTATATATTCAATCCAAGTAGAGTCACATTAAAATTTTATCCATCTTATCAATTCTTTTTCTTCTGTTTGGAAAGTGTCCAAAATGTAAAATTAACTGAAGTACCTTTCCACGTGTTCAGATAACAGTGCATGTTAATACCACAAAGCTATGTATGATTCATTCATCTTCATTTCACTTACTCCCTCTGCTGGGAATTAGCATGAAAGTTCAGTGGATCAGAGGAAAGATCATTAAGAGTGCAACATACATTAAAAAGCCTCTTTTGCTTCTTTTAATAAAAGATCACACTTCTTTTACAGACCCTCCATTCTGTATCAGTAAATCAATTTGCATTTCTTGTTGCAGGGCTATTCATCCCAAAATGATGAGGAAGGAGAAGCTAATGCAAGTTAACTAGTTAAATACAGAATATATACTATGTTCTTATGCATTCTGCCTTATCATTGTAACTGCCAATATCGAAGATTAAATAAATACAGAAAAGCAACTGAGTAACAGAACTCCTAAACTGTACCTGATGCTGATAGCCATGTTGCTAATACCCCACTGCTTACACTGACTCCAACAGGATTATTTGGTCTGAGAAGAAAAGGGGTAGAAGGGATAGAACAAAAAATTCAGTTGTAGTACTACCAAACACTACCCCACACCATGAACATTTTTTCTGCTCAAAGACTGAAACCACTTGCTTTAACACTGACAGCAGAATCTTAATTCTGATCACATGTTGCTAAAGTTCATGCTTTATTAGTGACTGAAAAGAAGAAAAAGAAAAGATGGAATGATGACAATGGTCAATAAGGGGTCAACAAGAGATGCCATATTGTAATGGAGATACCACTTTTCTTCTAGTATGCAGAAAAGATAATAAGGAGGATGACACCAGAGATACTGAATTCTTTCTTCTACAAACCCTGTAAACCAGTTATGCTCAAGTGAAATATCTTCTACTAAGTAGTGGGGACAGTTTCCATTACCACAGGTAAGCAAACTTAGTGAGAAATAACTATATTACCAGTGGCTAAAAATTATCATGAATACTTTTACAAATACTATAAGTTTCTTTGTCATGCAAACCGCATGATTTTAGGTCATAACAGTATAGCTGAATTTAAAATACTCTTATTTTTTATAAAACCACAAATTGTATTTTCAAGTTTGCCTATGTAAAAATATTGTGGTAAGAGGCAATTTAAATATATGTATAAAAATCAAGTATAGCATTGTTCATAGTTGCAAATAAATGTCACAAATGCAAACAACGGATAAATAGATTTTTTTTAGGTCTCTTTCCAATCAAAATATTGTAACTAAGCAATGACAAGAAAATCACAAGTAACCCACATCATGAGGAAATAGACACAATCACAAAGTGTGTAACACATTTCAGGCTGGGATATACAACAGTAATTCCTGGGTATTGAAAAAATTAAGATGTATTACAGATTAGATTGTTTGCAACCAAAAGTAAAGAACTGTAAAAACTCTGAGCTTATTGAATGCCTTTAATATTCAGTCATGGTCTGAAGGTTTCTAGAATATACTGTTGGGGCAGTACATACAATTCCCAACCAACAAACACTGTTCCAGTCCTCTTGGGCTATTACTACAGACATTGCCAGCAAGCAAATTTAAACAAATTGTTTGAAAACTTCAGCAAATTCAATTATTTTTTTTCTTTTTTTTTTTTCTTTCAGTTTCTGATGTAGATCAGACATAGGGGTATTGCCACTACAGTGATCCTGCTCTCTGGATATGCTCACTTGAATTGTTTTTTTTCCTTAACCATCAAAAATTATGCAGCAATTAATTGCTGTCAGAAGTCACTTGAAGTCTGTATGTCATCACCAATGACAAAAGTTCCTTTGGCTCTATCCATGATATTGTAATCCCCTTGCAATTTTCCTGCAAAAAAAATTAAAGTTTTCATTTCCAAAATATTTTTTTTAAAGAAAGGCTAACCCTAATAAAAAGGTTATTACTATATCAGAGTACTAAAAAAAAAAACCAAAACAGGTTTATTATATATTGATATTTATATCTCATATTCCTTTATTCCTCTCTGCATAAGAGAAGAGTTTTTAAGTCCAAATTGCTTAAGAATCTTCTGATTTTACTTTTTAGGTGAGTACCTAGCCCCTCTTTACTGACTTTTTTTATTATGTTACATGGAAAATCATCATTATTGCAACTAAAGAATTACTTCTTAGGACATGGGCCTCTACACAGCATATCCACTCCCAAAAAGAGCTCTTTTTATCTGTACTAAGTTTATCTAATACCCGCTTCTCATCTTCTAGATGATAGGGTATTAGTTTTATAGACTAAGATCACATATCTCAAACTGGTTTGTGATCATCTTCTAGGAAAAAAAAAAATCAATACAACAGTATGATTGCAAAACAACAAATCTCTTTCCCATCTTCCAGGATAATGAAATTATCATCATGTCTCATCTGGGAAAAGTGTACAATATGCCTTTTAATAACTGCATAATGTGGCAATGGTTAATATAATTGTGTCTGCTCCTACAGTCTTTATTTATTACTTGCAAGCAGTCCCATTAACACTGGTGATTGCTGATATGACTTCTGTGGCTGTCTGCCAAATAAAAAATGAAGAACCAGGACCTCCAAATTAAAATCAGTTCACCTGTACTGAAAAATAATGTTACTGTTGTGGAAAATAATCCTAAAATTTATGTTGCACATATATATATATACTTTAACTTTTTAAAAACATTATTCATTAAACTATTTTAGAGGTTTTCTAAAGCCACCTGTTCCTAAAAAAGCAACACATTTCCTTTATTTCAGTATTAGGAGCATTCAGATAGGTTATGCTGTCTTTAATTATTACTCAGACATGTATGTTAATTTTGAGCAGTCAGTTTATCACCAAAAAAAAAAAATTCCCATAAAGGAATACATGTGGAAGTTTATGCTTAGCCCATTATTGTTACCAACATGTCTTTGCTTGCAGAAATAAACCAGAGACCTAATTAATTATTCTATGAAGATAGCAAAAAAGATGAATCTAGGTGTGGATTCTGAAAACACTTTGAGGAAACTTCCTAGATTCTTTAACAGTCAATCCAGAGCATTTGACAGATTTGATTTTATTGTATAAAAATGTCATAGCATTGGACTCCTATCACTTAAGAAAACCAGACAGAAAAGGTCTTTCCCACCAGTTCTGCAACACAAAGGATGTGCAGGGCACATCCTTTTCACTTTACTGGAGCAAGGACTCTGGTACAATAAGTAGACAGAGAAAGACGGAATAATAAGAAAAAGTCACTGTCCAATTTACTTCAGATATCACATCCTCCACAGAATGAAAAGGTGACTGCCTCATCTCCCATCACAGACTGTCTGCTGAAATAGCAGCTGGAGACAAGGAAGGGCATTAATTGTGATTCCAACACCACTATCTCGTTGTACTTCATGTATACTGCAGAGTCAAAAATTAGCTGTGGAAGAAGCCTCTTCAGTTTCTAGCAGTTGTTTATACAGTACCTTTTTCAATCCCTGGTGACTTCTCTTACAGTGTCTGAAAAATGAGACTTCCTCTCCAGGAGGACCCTCCTGGAATAGTAGTACACTACTTAACAGGAATTTACACCTAGATCGTATTTCATCAATTCCCCAAATATCTATTTTTAAAGTCTTAATTCTGTTATGCTGATGATTATTACACCCAAATATTTGCATTAATATTCTTGCTTTTACTCTCAGGCAATATTCTACATTTGGTTTTTTTTTTTTTTTTTT